ACTCCTTTTCAAACAGGCCGGTAGTACGAATGTGAGGGGGGGGGGGTCCCCCACCCCACTTTTTGGGAGAAAAGTCTTGCTATAGTTTAAATATAAAAAATCATTAATTGATTGCTTGGTCCCTTAACATTTTGTTGCAGTATGGTTAAACTCGGGCAAGTCATTGCATTTAAAAAAAAGCTTTACCGAAAAATTAGAAAAAGTTTCCCCTCAAGTTTAGGCAGTTTATTTTTTTTCGGGGGGGGGGGGGGGGTCTTGTTTTTTTGTTTGCTTTTCAATTTTATGGGACATCCCCCCCCCCCACTTTAAAAGCACGGGCCTGTCAAAGACATAATAATGGCCCTTCAAAAGGCATAAAAACGCCTTTTTGAAAGGCGTATTAATGCCTTTTAAAAAGGCGTAATAACGCCTTTTAAAAGGCGTAATAACGCCTTTTAAAAGGCGTAATAACGCCTTTTGGAAAGGCTTAATAACGCCTTTTGGAAAGGCGTAATAACGCCTTTAAGAAAGGCGTAATAACGCCTTTTAGAAAGGCGTAATAACGCCTTTTGGAAAGGCGTAATAACGCCTTTTGGAAAGGCGTAATAACGCCTTTTTTCGCGTTATAACGCCTTTTGGAAAGGCGTAATTACACCTTTATTTGCGTTATAACGCCTTTTTCCGCGTTATAACGCCTTTTCAAAAGGCGTTATTACGCCTTTTTTCGCGTTATAACGCCTTTTGAAAAGGCGTTATAACGCCTTTTAAAATTTTTTTTACCGTAGTTTGATCCTAATAGGCTTTCGTATTTTTCTATTGAATAATACATTTAAAAAAAATGTTTTAGTGGTAAAAAGCATGAAAAGCTTTACTGAATTCTGGTATGAACTCAAGAAGGGGGGAAGGGGTATGCATTTTAATTTTTAAAATTTTTTTCTTAATTTTTTCTTAATTTTTTTTTATTTATTTATTATTTATCTATTCATTCATTCATTCTTGTCTTTGATTACTTGCTTGTTCCTATATACATTTGCAGGTGGAGGCCTGTGTCTCATTTTTGTTGTGAATTTTTTTTTTCAAAAGATATATCATTTTTTTAAGTGTTAAATTTCAGTTTTGTGAAGCTCACCATCAAAAGAAAAATCTTTGGACATGTCTGAAGCTCAAACTACCACATCAAACACATGTTCCATTTATACATGTGGATACGTTTCAACGGATAAAATAAAATGATTTCTAATTTTTATTTTAAAAAGTACTTATAAAAATATAGAACAGAAAATGTATTCAGCCAGTTGGAACCTATGATAGTGTATAAAGTACAAAATCATGAGAAAAACTATTCAGTCTTCCATTGTCAAATAAGCCATTGCTTCAATGGTTTTGCAATAAGGTAAAAGGGGTCTATCTCTTGTTACAAATTTTACGTTTTTCATTATTAAAGATTCAATGTATCATTAAATCCCCTCCACTGTCTCCAATAAATGGTCTAATATGCGACAACTGCTTGTGATTTACGTTAAATTGCGAGTAATAAACTTTGGACAGCGGAAAATTGAAAAAGAGTAAGTTAAACAATACAGGAGGGACAGCAAAATACATGACATGTATATGAATAAAGTTTCATGTTCTCTTGGCTTAAAAAAAAAATGAATCTTCATTTGACATTACCCATGCTAATCCATGTAAAGAGTTCAAAGTTGTTGAGTAGTGCTAAAATATCTTTTTTTTTAAAGCTTCCATATATGATCCATTTTATTATGTTGTCGATAGGGATGTCACAAAACATCAATTACTGATGCAGGGGGGGGGGGGGGGGTTCGATACATTGACAAATATTCTATTCGATTCTTCCCAGAAATGTATCCTATTATTCACAAGTTTTGGTTTAAAAATTCTAATACTTTTCGCTTAAACAATTTAATATCTGGAAAAAAACTTTCATTGAGTTAAATTCGTTTTTCAGTCCAGATATTAAAAAGAAAAAAAAAATTATCTTGCTTTTATGTAAGTTTTAGAAAGCACTAAAGACTATTCGAATCAGATTAGTTTTTTTAAAAATGAAGAAACGTTAAATTTACTCTACATTTTTTCCATTAAAATTAAGAAAATAATTCTCAGAAATTTTGCAATGCTAATACTTTTAGCCCTCACGATACACAGCCCTAGTGTTGGTCAGATGGTCAGTTTCCAAGTGTCCTGATAACCCAGGAGTCAGATCATCTTTCTGTAGTTTGGGTCCCAAGTTCAACTTCGGATGTAGTCCCTGACAATTGTCCTTATTTGTATTTGATGTCATAACCATGCATTGGAAGTAAAAGACGAGAATTAAATGACTTGATGTTTCTGGATGGGGTTTTTTAAATTAAGTCGTGAAAGATAAAGAAATGATGTTCATGCAAGCTCACGTATAATTGTTGGACAGATACATATAGATGAAAAAGTTAACGTTTAAGAGTTCTTGGGCCTGGGTAGGTTGGATCCCTGACTGTCGACACTGGTCCAGTGCACACTCTTTCCCCGTTATGCTTTTTGATTTTGAGTGCTCTGGCCAAGCAATTCATGATGAAATATCTTAGTAAAAGTTTTCCAGCTTTATAAAACCAAATACTCTTAAATTTCTTTATTTGAAATAAAAAATATTTGAGGTAAGAGAACTTAATTAGAGCTTTTTTAAAAGGACTGAGGTCTTTGTTATGACTTACAACTTGATTTTAACACTGATTTATCATTAAACAATAAAATGTAGAAATGTTCACTTGATGGCTCCGCCCTCACCAACGGTCGCACCGTCTTACATATTAATGTTTAAATAAAGAATTTCTTACCTTTCAGTAATTTGTGAGTACCAGCACTGTATTGTGCTTGTGGTTGGCTCCAAAACCCACCACCTGCAACTCTACTCTGAGGACCTGCCATTTTTAAACAATTTTGGCATCCAAGGACGTCACTTCCGTTTACAAGTTTTCACAGATTGCGATCCCGAATCAAATATGAGGACCATTTTGGCACAATCCAGTGCAGGCCCCTAGTACGGGGGCGAGGAGACACATTTTTTAATTAGTCTTCTGATGTAGTTTTACAGGAAAATTTTAAAGGGGGGGTTACAAGAAAATTTTCAGGGGGGGGGGGGTGTCAAATTCTATGGAGGCTGCTCCCCTGACCCTTTGAAATTCGTTGAGCAATACTGCAATCTGAGCTAACACCGGTATACATGTAGTATAATCAAATCGCCTCGGTTGACAATGGTTTTCTGGAGGGGGGGGTGAAAACTCGATCAATCTTACCCTTAACTACAATAACTGCAATAAATATAAAATAATTCACCAGATTAGCAAGACCTCTACTTGCCGATTTTTATTTTTTTTTTTAATTATTATTTCTTATTTTTTTATTACAACAATGCATTATTATTATTTTAAAGAAATAAATCAAAAATATCAAATCCCTTTCCCCTTTGCTAAACAATCAAATCGTTTGCGTTCAGTGCAAACTGAGATAACCGGAGCAGGGGCGGATCCAGCAATTTTTGAAAGGAGGGGGGAGGGGGGTTCCAGGTCGGTGCCCCCAACACTCAGGCATAGAATCACATCACAGGTACTTCAAACCCCTTGCAACGGTTTTCAAAGGAGGCTACCCCCAAATGGAGTTGACATGCCAAAAACAAAAAACAAAACAAAACAAAAGCAAAAACAAAAAACAAAAAACACGTGCACCACACTTAAAATTCTATTTCAAGGGGGGATTTAACCTTTCGGAACATTTTTCTTTCGAATGCTTGCATTTGCGTATTTTGACCTTCCGGCAACAAAAAGTGTTGGGGAGGGGGAACAGTCTAAATTAAAACTTACGTATTAAAACAATAGCATAAGATATTATTCTCAGAAAAGCGACCCCCTTCCCCCCGCATACTCTTTAAACATTTATTGATTAAAATATCCCCATGATATAAGGAGAGAAATATTCTCCTCTGCATACTCCCTTTCATGACTTTTTATGCATCCTTCTTAAAGTTAGTTACTTCAGAAGATGGTTTAAAAATGGCATATATATTAGCTATAGCTGAAATTCACCGGAATCTTCCCTCTCTCTCTTTCTCTCTCTGCAAAAATAAAGTGGGTTCCAACCCCCGGAACCCCCACCCCCACCCCTTTCTGGATCCGCCACAGCGGAGAGAACAGTAGAAGTGTGAAGAAGTACTATTAAAGCTAAGAGTAGGGCAATGCTGTAAATTCTCTGGAAGTGCAGACATGAGAAACACCCCGAGCGGAGATAATTATAAAATTGACAAGAGACTGTAACAGATTTTACAGTCAGGTGTTACAATGGACGAGGTGTGATATGTTTATATCTAATTGGAACATGTGCCAGATAATGCCGTGCATCTCTTCTGAATCAAATTTATAGGAAATACAAGCTAAAACTATAATTCTTGGTAATTTTCTTTTTAAAAAAAACACAAGGATTTTCATCATTTGATATCTGTTAAAACTCCGGGTAATGTATGCTGATTTTATGTCTAAGAACATTTGATGATACATTTATTTCAAATTAAGAATATCTTGGATATCAGTGGGAAAGGTACCTTGTGGGGTACAGGTACATGTACTTCGCGTATGTCCTTAAAAACACGTCTGAGAAAATATCAAATTTATCCAATGGATAAATTACAGTACTTCTCTGTTGAAAATGTAATAAAGAGCATTTAATTTATATAAATAATAGATTGGTCAACAGTGCATCTATGGATACTCTCTCCAGAATAAAACTACACCACTTTGTAAAGACACAGAATTCTATTTAATTACTGCATGCATGACAGGCATCATCGAAAGATCCACACTTCCTATAGCACAATTCCTTTACGATGGATATATTGTACGTAAACCCCTAATTTACGCAATACAATTAATATTGTGGTCTTATTTTGACAAACATACAAATATATATGTGATTCATTTAATAATGCTCTAATAGATGCATATTTATAATCTTATATGTGCATCCATTATTAAAAATATACTATTATAAATATATATGTGCATTTTATTTAGAAATATACTCCAATAATCTTTAATAAATAGAGGAGCATTCATTTAAAAAAAATCTAGTATCAAGTCATCAACAGAAACAGTTTAAAGATTATTTCACAGTTATTCGTATCAGATTTGTCCGTATAAATCACAAAGAAACAATATATAAAAAGATCAAGTTTATGATTAAAGCTTATTACCTAAAGCCTTCTTTTGATAATAGTTTTTAAGAGACTCTGCTTCTCGTATTCCAGACTCCCTTGCCCCGTGTGTTGTGGAGAAGAAGTGTGGATGTGTAGCCTCTCCGGCAAACAAAACAACAGGTACCCCGCTCATATACACCGGTTCTGCCAGACATTCAATGTCTGCTGGGGACGACGAATAGGAAACGTAACTGTAGGAACCCTGAGTAAGTCCATTGGTCTTCCAGGCGGATCTAATTATTGTAGTGGGCGTAGGAATGTTTGGATCACCTAAAAACTGCCGGATCAGAGCCGTGCACTGAGTTTTGACTTCCTCGTCAGACATACTTTCTAAATGCTCTGCCGCTTCCCCATGAATCCATCCTATTAATGTGTTGTCATTGTTCAGAATTTCATCAAATCCAAAAAGACTTTTATACCAATGAGTTTTCTTGTTCCCTATATTTCTTGATTTCCAGGCAAATTTTAAACCTCCTTCACCTTGTTTCCAAAAAGGTGTTTTCCACTGCAGAAATATCTTATTGACAGTTCCAAATCCCATTGCATTTATAGATCTAATTTTACTTGGTGGTAGAGGTGGTGCAAACATTCTGGAATGACAAGACTTCAGGACTCCCAGAGAGCACGTGACAATCACATGGTTAGCTTCAAACATTCTCTTTCCAGTTGGTGTCTTGCATGTTATGGCGACAGTCCTAGATTGAGTGCTCCCGTAATAAATATACTCCACTTCTGTGTTGTATTGAATACAATTTTTTGCCAATTTTTTGACGATTACATCAAGGGCACTTTTAAACCCTTTAGGCAACTTGATGTTGCCACCACCTAACTCTTTGAAGCAGGCAGCGTATTTTAGTGGCAGATTTTCCAGATCCTCGGCTGAATGAAAGGAAAGGTAATTCAACATACAATTAAAGAGTGCTCTTATATCTGCATGCTGGTTTTCTGGGAACTCCACCAGCCTCTTTTCTAACTCATTAGTCATGTAACTAGCGATATTAGAGTTAGCATCAATGTCTTGGGGTTTGATGTCCTGCAATCCCATCTCAACCTCTTGAAAAATCTGCCAAACTCTTTCGGTCAAAGACTTGCTAATTTTTCTTCCGTCTTCGGTATACGCATATCCCTCCATTCTGTTATTAAAACAACATTTATAATAAGACATTTATTTTACTTTGCAATAACACTTCGACTATATTTTACAACATTTTTGACACATTACCACATTTGAAATTTGCATCCAGCAATCAAGACATTTTTAAAGAAGCATGGGAAATTTACCTATCTAATAAAACATAAGGATTGAGTAGATCGTGCTCTGTGGCCAAACTAAACACAGCATTTCCATGGGAACCATGGATCCAGTTGGCACCAAGTTCAATAAGAGCGGGATTACCGCGGTATTCTCCGAATCCATGAGTATTTATCCTTCCACCAATCCTGCAAAATTGTGTATGTGATGCAAGCCTCAAATTAGAAATATTACACAACTAACTCGACACGAAGTATAACTACTAAATAACCCCCCCCCCCCCCTCTTTTTTTTTTTTTTTTTTTTTTTTTTTTTTTTTTTTTTGCCAGTAAAGAGATTGATAACAAACTGTACAGCTTCTTGGATGGCTCTATGGAGGAAAAATAATTTAAAGTAAAAATGTTACTCCTCTCCAACCAAGAGGCTTAAGCAATTGATCATTTATTTTAACATCTAGCCTATGAATAAACGACTTTCGAAAACACAAGATGCCTACTGGCCTCAAAGGTAACCCGAAATCACAGTGATACGGAGAGTTCTTTTTCTACACATTCTCAATTTTCGCTCAATTTTTGCTCTCATTTCTTGTGAAACTTCAATGTCCTATCATCTCTACGCAAATTTGAATACATGACACCACTTTCCTGACAATTTCAATCAATTTGTTGTCTACACAATTTCAATTAATTTTTGTTTAAAAAACACAATTGGGCTCATTAAATAATTTTTTGAGAAATTACATGTATTTTTCGCGTTATTAATTTGGACTTGCAGCTTTTGCTAATTCTGAAGGAAAGTTTTTGATTTAGATTTTTTTTTCACACGGCAAATAACAAAAAGACGCCCGACAAACCTTTGACTTGAGTGAAATAAAACATAACTAAAAACCAAAAAGCACATTTTTAAATCAAAGGTGAATAAACTTGAACGGTACCGATCACCCCCTTCCAGAATCACTACGTCCCTGAAGCCGCACTTAGTGAGGTGCTCTGCTGCCGACAGTCCAGCCATTCCGGCCCCCACTATAACTACACTGCCGTTCATAGACATCTCTTATTGAACTCAAATCTATAAAAATAATAAATTTATACAGAATGTATTTTTAAGAGGAAATTTTATTTTTAGCTCACCTGAGACGAAGCCTCCAGTGAGCTTTTCTGATCGAAATTTGTCCGGTGTCTGTCTTTGTTATAAACTTTTCACATTTTCATATTCTTCTCCAGAATCACAAGGCCAATGTCAGCCAAACTTGGCACAAAGTATCCTTGGGTAAATGGGGTTCAAATTTGTTCAAGCGAAGAGCCACTCACTCTTCCTAGGGGAGATAATTAGGAAATAGTGAAAACTTGGTGGTATATATTCTAAAAATCTTCTTCTCAAGAACCAATGGGCCAAAACATTTAAAACTCATATGAAACCTTCTTGACATAGTGTAGATTTAAGTTTGTTCAAATCATGACCCCCGGGGGTAAAGTGGGACCACAATGGGGATCAAAGTTTTACACAGGAACGTGAAGGAAAAAAATCTGAAAATTCTTCTTGTCAAGAATAGAAAAGTTTTGTTGAGTCATATTACTAAGGAAACATCCTCCGGTGTTGTAGATTTAGGTTTGTTCAAATCATGACCCCCAAGGGGTAGGGTGGGGCCACAATGGGGGATCAAATTTTTTTTCTTCTCAAGAACGGTAAAGCCATGATAATTAGTCATATTATTATGGAAGCATCCTCAGGTAGTGTAGATTCAGGTTTGTTCAAATCAAGACCCCTGGGGATTGGATGAGTCCACAACAGGGGATCAAAGTTATTGAAAAAAGAATATAAGGGATAGATCAATAAAAATTTACTTCTCAAGATCATCAAAGCCAGTCTTATTAACTCAGAAGCATCCTCAGGTAGAGTAGTATCAAATATGTTCCAATCATGTCCCTGGAGGTGGGGCAAAGCCTCAGTGGAAGATCAAATGTCGGAACCACATTTATAATTAAACTTTTCAATACTGAACGTATTTCTGGGTTTTTTCCCTAACCAAGGTACTCGGGTGAGCGATGTGGCCCAAGGGCCTCTTGTTAAGAGAAAAAAACATTACTTATAAGTCATACTGTAATGTACCCATGAATTGACTGTTCCAATAAACTTAATATAGTACAAAAATCAACATTGTGTAGGATATGATTGTTTCAATGTTGATTTCACCTTTCATAAAGTTAAAAGAAGGTCTTCTCTTATTTGAAATTTGGCTTTATCTTTGAATTTAGTCTAGAGGAAGGTCGAAGATCAAGGTCAGGGTCCAAAGTAGTCATTAATCTCTGAATTTTTTAATGTAATTTATTAATACACCTAGGTATCAGATTCCCATCTGTTGCTGTTAAAAGAGACACATCCCCCCCCCCCCCCCAATTTTTTGGTGTTAAAATAGACAATCCCCCCCCCCCCCCCAAACCATTGGGAAACCAAAATAAAGTAAACATCTTGGTGTTGAAGATAAAATTCAAGTCATATTCTCTGACATTTTCGCTAACCAAGGGTGACGACCCGCTCCTCTTCTCTTTCACCCTTGAAAAGAGGAGAAGACGATCGTCACCCTTGGCTAGCGAAGAGGACGCTCTGTAAGCCCAATATTTCCTAAAAATAAGGCGATTAAAATTGACTTTTTGGAAAATAGGTAAAAGGTTGAGTTCAAGGTCATAATAATTATTGTAAGTTTGTATAACTATCCTATGTTTTTATAAAATTTTGCTTTAATGCTTATGGTTTTCAAAATAATTGTCTAAATAATTTCAGCATATCCACGTGAGAGTTACATGTATATCTCTTGTCAGAAGGTCAATGAACCTTAGAAGGCATAGTGAATTTGTCGTTAGACAATCAAAGGTAAAGTTTATGAACACAAATCCTGTAAAAGTAGTACTCTATATGACATGAAACTAAACTCTCTTATGGGTGGGATTGGAGTTAACCCCACTCGACAACTCAATAATTTTGCCAGTATATGCCATAAAATTTAAAAAAAAAAGTTCTAATTTTACACTAAACAATAGAAAACCAATGATAATTTAGGGTTCCTCGCTCAATAAAATGGTCCGATGTCAGATCCCCCTCTTTTTTCCTTTCTGTTGCTGATTTGCAAGGTATTTCTGCTGTTCGTTTGAGGTGTCCCCCCCTTCCACCACCTGTACTTGCTTCTTATGGCCCCGTGCCCCGTTTTGCAAAAGAACTTACGACTAGAACCAAAATGTAATTTTTGTAATTTTGCTATTAACTTTCTTCTGTAAATTTATTTGAAAATGGTTTTGATCTTTTTAAAAGAATTTAGAGCGCTATTTTTTAAGCCAGTAATTTTTAATGGAAACATTAATTTTGCAAGATTTTACAATCAACTGCAGTTTTTAGGTTTACACGTTAGTTCTTTTTTTAAACGTTTGTTTTATTTAAAAGTATTCGATCAAATTCAGCTTCAAAAAGTTAATAACCTCGAATTAAATTCCTAGCCTGCAGTTGCAAAACTTCAAAGCAATTTCGATCATAGAGTTTAGAAGTTAGTAAAGCAGTGTTGGTCAATAAAAATCTCGAATTGCTTAATTCCACGTTTTGACATGCCCGGCTATAAAACCAATCGTTTTAATTTTACTTCTTTAATCTTCATATAAACACTGTGGTTCAGCTATAGATATTGAATATACAAACCACTTGTCATGTCGACATTATAAATAATTATTCACACTCCTCTCTAACGTTTGGAACTCACATCCATCCACAAAAAACTGAATCCGCGCCTGTGATACTACCTTACCATTAGTAACTCGCATCCATCACACTCCACAAAGAACTGAATCCGCGCCTGTCATGCTACTTCATTGTTTATTTAATAGATCTAATGACCCTCGCAATCTAAATATCTGAAGAACTCCTACGAGTGTGTTGTACATACTTAATGTGCGTCTTATTTTATTCTGCACTGTTTATCTTATTTTATCGCATTGTTAATTAGCGGATGAACTTTGAAAGTAAAGCAAAATTTTATTATATAGGTCATCGACCAACAAAGTTCGATACTTATACATGTATACGTGTCACTATCGAATACGTATTTCCATGCACGGCAGTCTTAACATGTGTAATTAGCGCAGTAAAAGAAACGATAAATACACGCATATTCAAGAACGTTTACCTGTTAAAAACACATCACCTGATACTTGCACACACCTCCTTTGGAGGGAATATCCGTCCTGGCCAACAATCTATTTATAACTAAATCTATAATCCGTTTTTTGATTGGCCGAGAGCATCGCGTGAAAATAAGCAGATTTTTTGAGTGTGATGTGCGGTTTCATTAAGGTTTCTGCTGACAGGGGGTAAGGACACGTGTTTTGAGACTTATTGTTAAATTGTCTATATGATTCAAAAAATAATGCAAAATATACTTTGTTTTACTGCATTGATTTTTACAAATATACTATTTATTTCCTCATTTATATTAATTGATGTATTTATTTATTTATTTATTCATTCATTTTGCTTGTCAAAGATTTTTCAGAAAAATTGTCCGGAAAAATTTTTCCGGCTGCCCCTCCCTCCCACCCCCAGATTTCAAAAACGCTACTACGTGCAAGTTTAACTTTAGAGTAAATAACACTCTTGAGGGAAATTTTTTTTCTTAATTAATTAAGTGTACATTTATTTTATTGGTGTATACGTTTCAAATGTAGTTCTGTATATCTCAAAATTATATGAAAATATACAATAAATATTTTTGATAGAAAATATTTAATTTCAGTGAGCAAATATACATGTAAACAGTTTTTTATTAACACTCGATGATCAAATTACTTTTGAATATACCACAGTTCAAGAGAAGTTGCTCGGGCCCAAAGTCCTCCCTATAACCGACCCTACCCCCCCCCCCACCCCCACCCCTGCATGCATTTATTTAGAAAATTTGTCCTTGATAAATATATAATAAGCCTGCCGAATTCCACTTCTTTCTTAAGAATTGGTAATTATAATCCACTGATATTGATCAAGGTCAAACACGCGATATGAGCTGACGCAATATGATTGATTGATGATGACCAGGGAAAATATTTTGAATTGAGCATCTTATTCTCTACCTAGCTACGTTGTGGGTGAATGTTTCGGGTATATCCGTGACTTTGTGGATCAATAAATATTTTTTATACACTGCTACAAAGTTAATGTTCTCTTCTCTAGCGAAAGAAAATATTCTATACGTATAACTAAGTTTACAGGCTCAGGAATCCATCAAAGAAGCGTTGGTTTAAACCTATACAATGTCTCTGATTGAAAACGAATCCAAATTACATGTAGTAGTACACAATGAAACGCTTATATTAGTTTTTTCCATTCTTTCTTGCATTCATTTTTTTTTTAATTGAATTTCCCTCTTGTTTGCATTGCCGGAATACTAGGGATGCACGACTTTATCGGTATACCGGTATATCGTGATTTTTTATTGCGTGATACGTATCGCGATACGGAGACTAAAATACCGGTATTTGGTACGTATTCATAAATTCCGGTAGCCTGGTTCCGGCCTACCCATAATGCTCCGCTACTGTGCGGAGCATTATGGGTAGGCCGGAACCAGGCTAAAATTCCGGAAATTTTTCATTTATTTGTTCAAGCTGTTAAATAACAATTACAGGAAGTGTAAAAAGTGTTGAAAACAGTTAAACAATGGCATCCAAACATGCATTATATTATATAAAATTTATACAAATTTAAAAAGTGAAGTTATGTTTTATAGCATATTTTAAGAGACACTAAGAAATTTCATTTGAAATTGTTGTAAAAATTGCTTATAAAAAATTTCACGATATTATCGTGATATTTTAGGGGAAAATCGTATATATATATATATATATATATATATATATATATATATATATATATATATATATATATATATATATATATATATATATATACAATTATAAATAGGTGTATAAATTTTCAGACAAAGGACACGTTAAAAAGAGAGTGTAAACTGAAAAGGAGAAATATTCACATTTACTAAAGATTTATGAAGTAATTGACCCCCCCCCCCCCTTATTTTCTTTTTGTTGTTGCTGCTGTAGAATTGTTGCATTGGCCTATCTGGTACTCACTGGTAAATTGGATTTATAAAGGTTCTGTTGTAATATGTGTATGGCTATACGAAGTGGATGTATTGTACTTGTTGAAAAGATTTGGTTGCAAATCTGTTTCTGCATCCGATTGAAGGAATTACGTCCTAAAATTACTGGGTCTGCAGCTATTCATGATGTTTGTCTCCACCATTATACAGAGGTACAATGAATACCCCCCCCCCCTTCTCAATACAGGGATCTCTATCTCACTTTTTGGGGCCCAGTTGTAAAGCCCCGAACAATTTACGTCGAAAATGTGGAAACGGTAAATCTGAAACCTGACCCAAACCTACACTATAAAAAACTTCTTTATTAGCTTGATAAATACTTACATTGTTATCATTGTTGTTGACAGAATGGCGCCTAGGAATGTGGTGGGAGAACCTACAAATGATGAGATGGGGCCCGTGGATATGGAGGAGGTACCCACAACAGAGCTCGCAGTTCGACCTCACCAGAAACTCGTGTGGAGAAATGTTATCTTGATGTCGGCTTTACATATAGGATCCCTGTATGCTCTCACATTAATTCCGACGTCACACCCCTTAACTTGGGTCTGGGGTAAGTTTTCACCATTGTCTGAAACTCCTCCGTTTCCTCGCATGTCTTAATTTTTCTTGTAAAAAAAATATATAATACAGGTCTGAAAAAAAAGAATGGATCCTTTACCCGACGGCTTTTTAGACATAACAGTCAGACCACTATGTATACTATAGCATTCACTTAAAAATTGACATTTCAAATATTTTTCAGCCATCTTCTATTACGTGGTCTCTGGTCTTGGAATCACAGCTGGGGCACACCGCCTTTGGGCCCACAAGTCATACAAAGCCCGGGCTCCGCTTCGGTGTCTGTTAGCGCTCATGAACGCTGCCGCGCTGCAGGTATGGCTGATCAATTAACAACATTAAGTTGCCAACAAATTTGAATGTGGTACGGGTATAAGTTTGACCTATTTTTCAGAATGACATACTTGACTGGTCACGTGACCATCGAGTCCATCACAAATACTCAGAAACAGATGCTGATCCACACAACGCCAAGAGAGGTTTCTTTTTCGCCCACATCGGCTGGCTGCTGGTCAGAAAACACCCGAATGTAATGGAGAAAGGGAGCCGTCTCGACTTTTCTGATCTTTATGCTGACAAAATTGTCATGTTTCAAAGAAGGTATGAAGAATTTGAACATGATAAATATCTGTGCAATCTATGCATAATAAATAATGTTAAAAGGCCAAGCTTCTTATTTTTGTAAGGGTTTAATTTTCGTTGTTTTTGAGGTATGAAGAGACCCACATTGTTTTTAATACTTAAAAATTCTTCATCCACGAAATTAAATCCCAACAAACCACGAAAATTTGACCCCTCGAAAATAAATGATTTCATAGTATTTTATAACATTATATATTAAAATATATACTAATGTTGAAAAAAATGAAAAAAGAGGATTGAAATAACACTTTTAACCAAGGAATCAGTGAGGTTGAATGTATTACTTGTTCATATAATACCCAGTATATATGCATCCCAAGGGCCTTGACACATTTGATGAAAGTACTAAATTAACCGACATGCAAAATGTTGATTTTTGTAATTGAATGTTAGTAAAGTCGTAAAAATCCATGCAGCACGTCTTTCTATTCCAGGTTCTACCGACCGCTGGTCCTAGTGATGTGTTTTGTAGTTCCATCCGTCGTTCCCTGGTATTTCTGGGGGGAATCTCTTTGGAATTCCTATTTCATAGGTGCCATTTTGCGTTACTGTGTTCTGTTAAATGCCACATGGTCTGTGAACAGTTTTGCCCATTTATGGGGCACAAGACCTTACGATAAGCGGATTAACCCGGCTGAAAATTTGGGCGTGACCCTGAGTGCAGTGGGTGAGGGCTTCCATAACTACCATCACACTTTCCCCAGTGACTATTCCACCAGCGAGTACGGTTGGCATCTAAATATAACCACAGTGTTCATTAATTGTATGTATTACTTAGGACAGGCCTACGACATGAAGAAGACTCCAGCCAAAGTGGTCCAGTTGAGAAAACTTCGCACAGGGGACAGAAGTTCTTAGACAAACAGTTTAAGATTTATCTTGGGGGGGGGGGGGTATTTTTTTTCTCGTTAAAATACAGAAAAATGTGGTTGTGTATTGGCGAAATCTAATTTTGTCTCTTACCTGAATAGTAAACCTATGCCAGTATATGTAAATGAGTATATATTAAAACTAAATTACTATTTGAAATAATATTAAATGACTGTGAACTGATATCAAGTAATTGACCCGCCTCTTAATTTATCAAAATTATATGTATAACATTGATGAAATAAACGACATTCTGTAATTTCCTTTTTTCGGGGGGGGGGGGGGGACCGAGGACAATATGATTGGTGAAAGCTTGATCTAGAATCTTGCTAATTTCCTGAAAGGTTGTATCATTTAGAAACAACTGTATTACTTTTTATCTTTTAGGAAAATAGACTCCACATCTTCCAAGAAATACAATGCTTATTACAAGGTAGTAGCAGCTGTTGATCGAAGGGTCTGGATAGTCTAGTATAGAAAGCCCCCAACGCGACAATCCTATAGATCAGCACCGAGACACAGCTTGAAAACAGCTGTTTGGGGGGAAAATGTCTTTTTTATAAGATAAGCTATAGCTTGACCGTTTATTACTCATCTTCTTTAGAATAAGCTGTTATATGAATTTAAAAAAAGACAGAAAATGACTCCCACGTATGAATTGATAACCCTGCAGAAACAGTAGGCCTAAATAACGTCATTCGGATTTGGGAATGCAGTTCGAAGTTCACTATTTGCAATTTAAAAGTGAAATGCATTGTAGAATGCAGTTCGAATTGAGTTCAAAATCTCAGAATGGAAATAAATTAAACAACACTGAAAATATTGAAGTTCCCTGCCCCGGGGTCTGATATTTTCAAGCTGGAATACTTGTGGTCATTGCCACTTTTACGAAATAAACGGTAATGGTACCATCTCTATTTTTTTAGGTCCACTCTTTTTAGTGTTTTCCAATGCTTGCTGTATTATACAAAGTCAATATAAGCATCAGTT